ATCTTTACGGACATCAGCAACAACAACAATTATTACTGTTAATAAAGTAGTTGTTGTTTATCGCCGCACTCAGCAATATCCCAGCTCTATGACTGCGGTCTGTAAATAATTGAGTCTGGACCAGACCATCCAGTGATTGACATCATGGGCATAGTCGCGTTTACGGTTGGTTGGTTGGTTTGTTGTTTAACGCCGCACTCAGTAATATTCCAGCTATATGACGGCGGTCTGTAAATAATCGAGTCTGGACCAGACAATCCAGTGATTAATATTATGAGCATCGATACACGCAATTGGGATCGATGACATGCATCAACCAAGTCAGCGAGGCTGACCACCCGATCCCGTTAGTCGCCTCTTACGACAAGCATGGGTTGTTGAAGACCTATTCTACCCCGGAATTTTCACAGGTCTCGCGTTTACGGCAAGAATGGGTTGCTGAAGACCTATTCTTCACGTAGTAGTAGTAGTAGTCGTAGTAGTAGTAGTAGTAGTAGTAGTAGTAGTAGTAGTAGTAGTAGTAGTAGTTTGGAAAATACTCGAGGATGATGGGCAAATCAATCTGTGTATGATTTGTACAACATGACGTAAAATTTCTTTTTAAATGGTTATTGAAACTAAGTAGATATTTTTGTTTCGAGCAGTCTTCGCAACAGGGATGATGAGTGCCGCCAGTTTGGGTAGGATGTAATGTGATAGTCACGTGAACTAGTGAAACTAGTAATACCTTCAGATGCGGTCTGAGATTACCTGTCGCGTCCTGAAATAACTTTTTTAACTGCCAAAACCTTTAAACAACGAAATGTAAATGTGTATGTACCTGTCTAATATTCACCAAACTGTAACATATTTTTATTATTTTAATTTAAAAAAATATTTACTTTCTTTGTATTTTATGTAAAATAGTCTCTCTTAGTTCCGTATGTGACGGCTTAATATTGTACTGAATTATATTTGTTACTGTCTGTGTGTCCGTCTGTCTGTCTGTCCTCGTATCAGTCACCTTTTTCAAATTCAAAAGTACATGAAAACACTAATGCACCACTTAGACACCAAAACATGAGTGAGTGAGTGAGTATCGTTTTACGCCACTTTTAGCAATATTCCAGCAATATCACGGCAGGGACAAAAGAAATGGACTTCACACATTGTACCCACAAAACGTTGAGAAATACAATGGCGGAGAGCACTGGACTATTCCCATAGCGCCAACAGGAAAAATGTAGGTTATCCATGTCATACCGTCACATTCCACGTGTTTCGAAACATCGACTCACTCACTCACTCACTCACTCACTCACTCACTCACTCACTCACTCACTCACTCACTCACTCACTCACTCACTCACTCACTCACTCACTCACTCACTTTTACTTAATTACTTTTACTTGACCGCCTCCGTGGTCTAGTGGTAGAGCTTCCCCGATCCCCGGCCGCGTCATACCAAAAGACGTTAAAAGATGGTACTTGTTGTTACCCTGCCTTGCGCTCGGCATTAAGGGGCTTAAACAAGGACCGGTCGGCTCGGAGTCAGTATACTGTGTCTGAGGGGTATTCATGTTAAACTGCGGCATGGTATCTCAGTGAGCCAGCACTATAAATCGGCATCAGTCCGGACTAGTACAAGCAGCCACACAAACACACAGACGTACATCCACGTCGCTATATAAGTGCAATAATCTTGGACGCGACGTTAAACCCCATTTCACCTACTTTTACTTACTTACTTAATAAACAATACAGGTGAGACATAATCTATTCCCCCTCTGCGCATATGATACAGTGAGTGAGTGAGTGAGAGTTGGATTTAACGCCGCTTTTAACAGTATTAGCGTGTCAGCTTAATGTGGGACGAAGCCCGAAGCGATGCAAGTCTCAGACGTTTACCACCTCGGTGAAACCCACGAGCACGGGTATGGTGCTGACAAACCTAGAAACATAAGTTAACGTATCTGATGGCAAGTTAACGTATCTGATGTTAAGTTAACGTATCTGATGTTAAGTTGACGTATCTGATGTTAAGTTAACGCATCTGATGCTAAGTTAACGCATCTGATGCCAAGTTAACGCATCTGATGTGAACATAACGTATCTGATGTTATGTTTACGCATCTGATGTTAAGTTAACGCACCTGATGTTAAGTTAACGCATTTGATATGAAGTTAACGTATCTGATGTTAAGTTAACGCATCTGATGTTAAGTTAACGCATTTGATGTTAAGTTAACGCATCTAATGTTAAATTAACGTATCTAGTGTGAAGTTAACGTATCTGATGTTAAGTTAACGCTTTTGATATGAAGTAAACGCATATAATGTGAAGTTAACACATCTGAAGTGAAGTTAACGCATCTGATGTTAAGTTAACGCATCTGATGTGAACTTAACGTATCTGATGTGACGTTAACGCATCTGATGTGAAGTTAACACATCCAATATAGAGTTAACGCATTTGATGTTAAGTTAATGCATCTGATGTCAAGTTAACGCATTTGATGTGAAGTTAACGTATATGGTGTTAAGTTAACGCATCTGATGTTAAGTTAACACATCCAATATAGAGTTAACGCATCTGATGTCAAGTTAACGCATTTGATGGCACGTTAACACATCTGATGTGAACTTAACGTATCTGATGTGAAGTTAACACATCCAATATAGAGTTAACGCATTTGATGTTAAGTTAATGCATCTGATGTTAAGTTAACGCATTTGATGTGAAGTTAACGTATATGATGTTAAGTTAACGCATCTGATGTTAAGTTAACACATCCAATATAGAGTTAACGCATCTGATGTCAAGTTAACGCATTTGATGTGAAGTTAACGCATCCGATGTTAAGTTAACGCATTTGATATGAAGTTAACGTATCTGATGTTAAGTTAACGCATCTAATGTTAAATTAACATATCTAGTGTGAACTTACCGCATCTGATGTTAAGTTAACGTATTTGATGTTAAGTTAACGTATTTGATGTGAAGTTAACGCATCTGATGTTAAGTTAACGTATTTGATATGAACTTAACGCATCTGATGTTAAGTTAACGTATTTGATGTGAAGTTAACGCATATGATGTGAAGTTAACGCATCTAATGTTAAAAATTAACGTATCTAGTGTGAACTTAACGTATCTGATGTTAAGTTAATGCATCTGATGTCAAGTTAACGCATTTGATGTGAAGTTAACGCATCTGATGTTAAGTTAACGTCTCTGATGTTAAGTTAACGTATCTGATGTGACGTTAACACATCCAATATAGAGTCAACGTATCTGATGTTAAGTTAACGCATCTAATGTTAAATTAACGTATCTGGTGTTAACTTAACGTATCTGATGTTAAGTTAACGCATTTGATATGAAGTTAACGTATATGATGTTAAGTTAACGCATCTAATGTTAAATGAACGTATATGTCTGTTTAACGTATTATATGTCCACTCCCCGAAAAGACAAAATGCAAATTAAAGTAATTTTTTTATTTGATTAACAAATGTCTTTTTTATTCATGACCCTCCCCAAATAGGTGTATTATTTTTTATTACCCTTCTCAGAGATTGACATACTTTTCGGTGACCCTCCCCTGATTTCCTCTGACCCATCCATCCCATTAATATATGACCGGTCCCCGATCAGGAATAATACCGCATAATTTGGAATATTTTATAATACATAATGCTTCCCTGTGTAAATGTATTTGTCATTTTGAGATATTTCTTCTAAAACAATATCTGAAGAGTAAAATACAATTGAAACTCTTTGATAGAAACAAGCAACTACATTAAATTATTTAATTTGATAAATCGCCTCAGAAAACCTATGGAAAATCTATATTTGCATCGTTTAGTGCTATAGCATTAAGCAGCTCTCACACTTTGCCGAGGTGGTTGCCTAGCTCTCCCGAGCCTAACTCGGTTAGGACTCAGGAAGAGACTACATAAATACGAGTATCATATGAGTGTGTTACGAGCCCCATAAGAGTCCAATAGGAGTCTATTAAGAGTTGCATACGAGCACAACGATCTCGATACGAACTGTACGAGTTTGGTACGACTTTGGTACGAGGTGGCTACGAGCTGCTAAATAATTCGGCGGGAATTACATTCGTACAGCTCGTATTAGACTCGGTCAACTCGGCAATGAATTTTGCAGACGATCCTCATACGAGTTCTGTACGAGCACCACGAGGTCGCCACGAGGGTGCTACGAGTAGGACGAGTTTGTTACGAGTTTGTTACAAGTTTACTAGGAGTTGGCTGGCGGACCGACTGTTTTGAGCAGTTCCAAAACATTCGTCACCACTCGCCCCTTTCGGTAACCTGCAAGCGCTTGTCACGAATGGTTCCAAAACTCTCGTAGATCAGTACGAGGTATCCCGAGTTACCCCGAGTTTAGTACGACCTCGCTACGAGCTCCATACGAGTACCCCCGAGTCAGCTCGGGTCCATACTCGGGACGCAACTCGGCAACTGTGAGAGCCCCTTTACACTAAGAGCTGGGCGGAGGGGGAAATACAACGATGTCGGGAGTACTTTCACAGAATACGCACTGAAAGGTGTACATGGACGTGAGACACAGATTCATATTACACCAGTAGTAAAAATGGCGCCCGTTATGACGTCATAGAAGAAGAAAATAAACTTTCGCCCAAGCCCAAACTGACATATCACGCATGCCCACGACCGACCTATAAAACAACACTGATTTGTAACAATAAATATTGTATCATCCATCAATCGACGATGCCATTCAAAACGGGCAGGGACCTCACCACGCTCTCGAAATTCCTTCAATGGAATGAGGCGTGTTTGGCCTATCTCAACATAGGCGTTTCCCTATAGTGACGCGGAGAGAAGGTGTAACCGAACACGCATTTCTCCGTGAAATCCTTGATAAAGTAAGCGACCGCGTTTCCATACAGCCTAAATGATTCCAGATGGCAATGCGATTATCAGCATCCCCCGCTCCTAACTGTTGCTGGAGCGTGGTCAAACTGTGCTTGTTATCAAGCAGAAAGCTAAATAATACCCACTTCTAATACACTTAGCCTATTCATTGCAAGAACTGGCGTTGCGAGACTAGCCTGCCACTGATCAACACGTGATTTCTGTGTGCGGAGGAAATATTGGCAGAAGAGCTTGTTTACTTTGAAGAATTGGTTTGTTTACATTCCGAAGTTGTGAACAGATTTTCTCTACAGGCTGTGGATACTCGTGAGTACACAACTAACAGTTCCCGTGTTCTTAACTTCATTACTACCGTGTCAGCGTCTTCGCTGCTTTCTGGCTCTGGGTTATATAAAGGGATACTTTCAAACATTTGACCTTAACTGAGACTAAGGCACCGCGCTCTGGTGTACATATTGTTAGGATTTTATTTCTGTCTAAATGCGACACAAGGTCAAGTCACATAACGTCAGGGTTACCCCAATGAATCTGTTCCCTTTATAACTGTATACCATAAGTTCCCGGGGAAATGGAACGCTGAGGATGATATAACAACAACACCACCAACAACAACATTATTCTTTCATGTCTGTGTCATATTTACTGTTTAATATGGTTCATGAAACGGGGACGTATGGGGCGCGGGGGCAGAGACGACTGGGGCTACATGGGGGTAACGAGGAGGAGGGGGTGCGAAATACAGACGTCTAGAGGACATGAGTACTCAGTAACGGTTTTGAGAACCTTGGAACTGAGAGTTACGGAGTGGGGAGGTTTGGAGTGGACAGGAATGGAACTGAGAGGCACGGAGTAGAGAGGTATGGTGTAAGGACGTATGGTGTAAGGAGGTATGGTGTAAGGAGGTACGGAGTAGGGAGATACGGAGTAGGGAGGTTTGGAGTGGACAGGAATGGAACTGAGAGGCACGGAGTAGAGAGGTATGCTGTAAGGACGTATGGTGTAAGGAGGTATGGTGTAAGGAGGTATGGAATAGGGAGTTACGGAGTGGGGAGGTTTGGAGTTGAGAGGAATGGAGTTGAGAGGCACGGAGTAGAGAGGTATGGTGTAAGGAGGTATGGTGTAAGGAGGTATGGAATAGGGAGTTACGGAATGGGGAGGTTTGGAGTGGACAGGAATGGAACTGAGAGGCACGGAGTAGAGAGGCACGGAGTAGAGAGGTATGGTGTAAGGAGGTATGGTGTAAGGAGGTATGGAGTAGGAACATACGGAGTAGGGAGATACGGAGTAAGGAAGTACTGAGAAGGGAGATACAGAGTAGGGAGATACGGAGTAGGGAGGTACGGAGTAAGGAGGTACGGAGTAAGGAGGTAAGGAGTAGGGAGATACGGAGTAAGGAAGTAGGGAGATACGGAGTAAGGAAGTACGGAATGGGGAGGTACGGAGTAAGGGGGTAAGAAGTAGGGAGATACGGAGTAAGGAAGTAGGGTGATACGGAGTAGGGAAGTACGGAGTAGGGAGGTACGGAGTAAGGGGGTACGGAGTGGGGAGATACGGAGTAAGGGGGTACGGAGTGGGGAGATACGGAGTAAGGAAGTACGGAGTAAGGAGGTACGGAGTAGAGAGGTACGGAATTGAGAGGTACGGAGTAAGTAGGTAAGGAGAAGGAGGTACGGAGTAGGGAGGTACAGTGAGTGAGTGAGTGAGTATGGTTTTACCCCGCTTTTAGCAATATCACTGCGGGGGACACCAGAAATGGGCTTCACACATTGTACCCAAGTCGGGAATCGAACCCGGGTCTTCGGCATGAGGAGCGAATGCTTTAACCACTAGACTACGCGACCGCCCCTGGTACAGAGTAAGGAGGTAAGGAGTAGGGAGATACGGAGTAGGGAGGTACGGGGTAGAGAGATACGGAGTAAGGAAGTACAGAGTAGGGAGGTTCGGAGAAGAGAGGCAAGGAGTAAGGAGATACGGAGTAGGGAGGTACTGAGTTAGTAGGTACGGAGCAGAGAGGTAAGGAGTAAGGAGGTATGGAGTAGGGAGATATGGAGTAAGGAAGTACGGAGTAGGGAGATACGGAGTAAGGAGCTACGGAGTAGAGAGGTACGGAATTGAGAGGTACGGAGTAAGGAGGTAAGGAGTAAGGAGGTACGGAGTAGGGAGGTACAGAGTAAGGAGGTAAGGAGAAGGGAGATACGGAGTAGGGAGGTACGGGGTAGAGAGATAGGGCGTAGGGAAGCACGGAGTAAGGAGATACGGAGTAAGGAGATACGGAGTAGAGAGGTACGGAATTGAGAGGTACTGAGTAAGGAGTAAGGAGGTACGGAGTAGGGAGGTACAGAGTAAGGAGGTAAGGAGTAGGGAGATACGGAGTAGGGAGGTACGGGGTAGAGAGATACGGAGTAGGGAAGCACGCAGTAGGGAGATACGGAATTGAGAGGTACGGAGTAGGGAGATACGGAGTAAGGAAGTACAGAGTAAGGAGGTTCGGAGAAGAAGGGCAAGGAGTAAGGAGATGCGGAGTAGGGAGGTACGGAGTTGGTAGGTATGGAGTAGGGAGATATGGAGTAAGGAAGTACGGAGTAGGGCGATACGGAGTAAGGAGGTACGGAGTAGAGAGGTACGGAATTGAGAGGTACGGAGTAAGGAGGTAAGGAGTAAGGAGGTACGGAGTAGGGAGGTACGGAGTCAGGAGGTAAGGAGTAGGGAGATACGGAGAAGGGAGATACGGAATAGGGGAGCACGGAGTAGGGAGATACGGAGTAAGGAGATAAGGAGTAAGGAGATACGGAGTAAGGAGATACGGAGTAAGGAGGTAAGGAGTAAGGAGGTACGGAGTAAAGAGGTGCGAAATAGGGACATACGGAGTAGGGAGGTACGGAGAAGGGAGATACGGAATAGGGAAGCACGGAGTAGGGAGATACGGAGTAAGGAGATAAGGAGTAAGGAGATACGGAGTAAGGAGATACGGAGTAAGGAGGTAGGGGAGTAAGGAGGTACGGAGTAGATAGGTGCGGAATAGGGAGATACGGAGTAGGGAGGTACGGAGTATGGAGATACGGAATAGGGAAGCACGGAGTAGGGAGATACGGAGTAAGAAGATAAGGAGTAAGGAGATAGGGAGTAAGGAGATACGGAGTAAGGAGGTAAGGAGTAAGGAGGTACGGAGTAAAGAGGTGCGGAATAGGGAGATACGGAGTAGGGAGGTTACGGAGAAGAGATGTAAGGAGTAAGGAGATACGGAGTAAGGAGATACGGAGTAAGGAGGTAAGGAGTAGAGATGTAAGGAGTAGAGAGGTACGGAATTGAGGGGGGCGGAGTAAGGAGGTACCGAGTAGGGAGATTCGGAGTAAGGAGGGAGGGAGTAAGGAGGTACGGAGTACACAGGTAAGGAGTAAGGAGGTAAGGAGTAGAGAGGTACGGAATAGAGAGGTAAGGAGTAAGGAAGTATGGAATAGGGTGTAATGGAGTAAGGAGGTACGGAGTAAGAAGGTACGGAGTAGAGAGTTACGGAGTAGGGAAATACGGAATAAGGAGGTACGGAGTTGAGAGGTGAGGAGTAAGGAGGTACGTAGTAGGGTGGTACGGAGTAGAGAGGTACGGAGTAAGGAGGTAAGGAGTAAAGAGGTAAGGAGTAGGTAGATACGGAGTAAGGAGGTACTGAGTAGGGAGGTAGGGGGTAAGGGGATAAGGGGTAAGGAGGTACGGAGTAGAGAGGTACGGAGTAAGGAAGTAAGGAGTAAAGAGGTAAGGAGTAGGTAGATACGTAGTAAGGAGGTACTGAGTAGGGAGGTAGGGGGTAAGGGGATAAGGGGTAAGGAGTAGGGAGTAGATATATCCGGAGTTGAGAGGTACGGAGTAAGGAGGTACGGAATAGGGAGATACGGAGTAAGAAGGTGCGAAGTAGGGAGATTCGAAGTAGAGAGGTACGGAGTAGAGAGGTACAGAGTAGAGAGGTACGAAGTAGAGAGGTACGGTGTAGAGAGGTACGAAGTAGAAAGGTACGGAGTAGAGAGGTACGAAGTAGAAAGGTACGGAGTAGAGAGGTACGAAGTAGAAAGGTACGGAGTAGAGAGGTACGGAGTAGAGAGGTACGGAGTAGAGAGATAGTTAGGAGGTACGGAGTAGAGAGGTACGGAGTAGAGAGGTACGAAGTAGAAAGGTACGGAGTAGAGAGGTACGGAGTAGAAAGGTACGGAGTAGAAAGGTACGTAGTAGAGAGGTACGGAGTAGAGAAATAGTAAGGAATTACGGAGTAGAGAGGTACGGAGTAGAGAGGTGCGGAGTAGAGAGGTACGGAGTAGAGAGGTATGGTGAAATGAGGTATGGTGTAAGGAGGTATGGTGTAAGGAGGTATGGAATAGGGAGATACTGAGTAAGGAAGTACGGAGTAAGGAGGTACGGAGTAGAGAGGTACGGAATTGAGAGGTACGGAGTAAGTAGGTAAGGAGAAGGAGGTACGGAGTAGGGAGGTACAGTGAGTGAGTGAGTGAGTATGGTTTTACGCCGCTTTTAGCAATATTCCAGCAATATCACGACGGGGGACACCAGAAATGGGCTTCACACATTGTACCCATATCGGGAATCGAACCCGGGTCTTCGGCATGAGGAGCGAATGCTTTAACCACTAGACTACGCGACCGCCCCTGGTACAGAGTAAGGAGGTAAGGAGTAGGGAGATACGGAGTAGGGAGGTACGGGGTAGAGAGATACGGAGTAAGGAAGTACAGAGTAGGGAGGTTCGGAGAAGAGAGGCAAGGAGTAAGGAGATACGGAGTAGGGAGGTACGGAGTTAGTAGGTACGGAGCAGAGAGGTACGGAGTAAGGAGGTATGGAGTAGGGAGATATGGAGTAAGGAAGTACGGAGTAGGGAGATACGGAGTAAGGAGCTACAGAGTAGAGAGGTACGGAATTGAGAGGTACGGAGTAAGGAGGTAAGGAGTAAGGAGGTACGGAGTAGGGAGGTACGGAATTGAGAGGTACGGAGTAAGGAGGTAAGGAGTAAGGAGGTACGGAGTAGGGAGGTACAGAGTAAGGAGGTAAGGAGAAGGGAGGTATGGGGTAGGGAGGTACGGGGTAGAGAGATACGGAGTAGGGAAGCACGGAGTAGGGAGATACGAAATAAGGAGATACGGAGTAGAGAGGTACGGAATTGAGAGGTACGGAGTAAGGAGTAAGGAGGTACGGAGTAGGGAGGTACAGAGTAAGGAGGTAAGGAGTAGGGAGATACGGAGTAGGGAGGTACGGGGTAGAGAGATACGGAGTAGGGAAGCACGCAGTAGGGAGATACGGAATTGAGAGGTACGGAGTAGGGAGATACGGAGTAAGGAAGTACAGAGTAGGGAGGTTCGGAGAAGAGAGGCAAGGAGTAAGGAGATACGGAGTAGGGAGGTACAGAGTTGGTAGGTAAGGAGCAGAGAGGTAAGGAGTAAGGAGGTATGGAGTAGAAAGGTACGGAGTAGAGAGGTACGAAGTAGAAAGGTACGGAGTAGAGAGGTGCGGAGTAGAAAGGTACGGAGTAGAAAGGTACGGAGTAGAGAGGTACGGAGTAGAGAAATAGTAACTTAAAGGAATTACGGAGTAGAGAGGTACGGAGTAGAGAGGTGCGGAGTAGAGAGGTACGGAGTAGTGAGGTACGGAGTAGAGAGGTACGGAGTAGAGAAATTGTAAGGAATTACGGAGTAGAGAGGTACGGAGTAGAGAGGTGCGGAGTAGAGAGGTACGGAGTAGAGAGATAGTAAGGAGGTACGGAGTAGGGAGGTGTGGAATAGAGAGGTACGGAGTAGATAGATAGGAGTAGAGAGGTACGGAGTAGAGAGGTACGGAGTAGAGAGATACGGAGTAGAGAAATAAGGAGTAGAGAGGTACGGAGTAGAGAGATAGTAAGGAGGTACGGAGTTAACAATTAGGCCAACGTAGCAAAAGATACGGCACACGGATCACAAGAAGGTCAAGGGAACAAAGAAGAAGAGTTAAACTTGCTTTTGATTACGCATTGTTACAATTATATATTCAGAATATTGTCTCAGAAGAAATAGCGCATAATATGAGGATGATGATATGCATATAAGCAATCCTTTTAAAGGGCAAGTTAAGTCAACATAGCAACTATGCAGATTTTAGGGCTTACTTCATCACAAATGCATGACAAAAATTAATTTTGAAAAACGAGAAAAGCGATAAACAGACGATGAATAACGACAGGCGACGAAACATTGCGCCACTGAGGGGATTGCCCTCAGTGGGGTTAAAACGGGTTCCCGGTGTTTGACGCGCTGCGCGATTGCAACGATCATGACGCTCGGGCCGAGGCCCAGTCTGCCTGCTTCTGCTTCGGATGTTTTAATACCTTACGCCTTTTTTTCTATCGGCTCATCCATTTGATTACCCTGTCCACGACTATATCATGAGCACGTGACTGTGAATCACTATCAAATAGCAACGATACAAGGTATTCGCGAAAAGATTAGCGCATCTTGCCCAATAATGACACTGTTGGTGTCGTTTTCATGCACAGATGGAAATCTGAAACAAAACAAGTAAATTGTATATAGTCAATTTTGGTGTTGTTGTTGTTGTTGTTGTTGTTGCTATCATCATCATGTTTTACTATTATTATTGATTTGCAGTTACCTTTAAATATATATTTTTAGTTTTGTGTTATACAGAGTGAGTGAGTTAATACTTAACGTCACATCGCATTATTTCAGCCATATCGTGATATACAGAATATACAGGTGAGCTACAGTGCTTTTTCAGTATTTACCGCTCAGTGTAGGAACCAAGTGGTTCCAGCCTCCAGTCGTAAATATCACAACACACACAAACACAGGCTACACAATCAGGAAGCCAGTTGCTGAGGCCATTTTTTTAAGGTTTTGTTTTTAAATGTACGCGTCGAGTATTTAGCGTGGGCCAATACTCAGCTTGCAAACATCAATTATCGTATTACATCTGTTGGAAATGACATTATACCATGCATCTGACGTGGATGTTCAGCTGTGTTGTTAATGAACGCTTCGCGTTGATTAAACAAATTGAGGTCACTTGACGCTTGTGCACGAGAAACGAGTGTTTGAAAAGAGAATTTGAAACGGTATAACATGTATATTTTCGTTTAGTGTTGTTGGCGCCCTAGGTGTTCTACGGCGCCATTGCTGATATTAGAGATATTAGAATGGTTCGATGCACAAACGAACATACTTGTATGATGTGTGAAGTGTTAAGTTTGGAAATCACTCACAGCATATCGTGATAAGAATAAAGACACTCTCTGGTAGCATTTGACTGATTATGAAATTAAAATTAATAGTTAACAAAGTTTATATATTCAAACCAAATGACCTAACCTGGTCCCGGCGAATCTATGGAATGCTAAATGGGACATTGTCGCATTGTTGTTGCAATTTCGCGCTGGTATTTTTTTGTTTTGAGAAGGAATTTGTTTTTTAAACATACCTCAAACAATTATCTGAAAGTAGCCGAACAAATAATTTGTTCACAAGATATTTGATTTGCATTCAGTATGACCAGTTAACCCTGAGGCAAAATTATTTTTTCCATTATTTTCTAGAAAAACTTGATAGTGTCAACAACTGTATCCCGAACTAAAATTGCAGTTGCAGCAGTAGTTATATGTGAATATTAATACTAGTAGTCCGGCGATACACATTCCAGAGATGTTGCCACTCTGTGCCTCAAATCTCTCTACCAACATTCGACCACCTCCGTGGTCTAGAGGATAGAGCGTCTACCCTGAGAGTGAACGTTATCTTGAACGTTACGTTAAACCTCACCTAACCTCACGTATTGTTTTGGTTGTTTTTTTTTGCACTCAGCAATACTCCAGCTATATGACGGCGGTCTGTAAAGAGTCGAGTCTGGGCCAGACAATCCAGTGATTGACATCATGAGCAATGCAATTGGGATACGGTGACATGTATTAACTCAGTCGCCGAGGCTGAAAACCCGTTCCCGTTAATCGCCTCTTACGACAAGCATAGGTTGCTGAAGACACGAGTTCACCTCAAGTATGATCATTGTGGAAATTACCCGTGAAGATCCGGGGTACAAAAGGTCTTCAGCAACCCATGCATGCCGTAAAAGGTGACTATGCTTGTCGTAAAAGGCGACCAACGGGATCGGGTGGTCAGGCTCGCTGACTTGGTTGAAGCATGTTATCGTATCCCAATTTGGTGGATCGATGCTCATGATATTAATCACTGGATTGTCTGGACCAGACTCGATTATTTACAGACCGCCGTCATAGAGCTGGAATATTGTTGAGTGCGGCGTAAAACTACAAACCAACCAACCAAAACCAAATCATTGTGGAACTAAGCATTTTTTTTTATCGTTGCAGGGTCTATGATGCTGACGTTACTTGCAGCGTTGCTGCTGGCAACACCTGCCCTGTGCCACTACCACTCCCTGTACCAAGACAGGGAGCCGGAGGATGTTGACTTCGAGCGCACCTTCCACGTGCAGGTAAGACCAAAGATGAGTGAGTGAGTTGAGTTTCACGCCGCGCTGGACAACGAATACCAGTTATAGCACGTCTGATAGTCTGGGGTCGCGTGGTGGAGGGTTGGCTGAGTTATGTGGGTCGTCTGGGATTATACCGAAAAATATCAATTGTCTCCGAAAAATCTTGAAAAAATAAGTATGCTTGAAAAAAATTGCCTGCCACAAAAAAATTGCATTCTTGAAAGTTGTTTTTGTTAAAAACGCATATTCAGGCTCATAGTCTTAAATATAAACAAGTATCTGGTTTTGTAGGTGAAAAAAATATCTAATCACGATACAAACTCCAAGCCCCCCCCCCCCCCCCCCCCCCCCCCCCCCCCAAATGCCCAAGGGGATGCCGCAGTATAACATAAACACAGACACGCTCAGTAAACACAGACACGCTCAGTAAACACAGACACGCTCAGTAAACACAGACACGCTCAGGCACAGAATACTCCGAGCCAACCTGTCCTTGTTTTCCCCCTTTAATGCCGAGTGCCAGGCAGGGTAACAACAAGAACCAACTCTTAACCAAGTCCCCGATCCTGTTAATCGCCTCATAAGACAAGAATGGGAAGCTTAACATCAATCCTAACCCGAATCTTCACGGCCGGGTTGCCCAATTTGGTCGCCTCTAACGGCTGAGGTGAGGTGAAATTGGGTTTAACGTCGCGTGCAAGATTATTGCACTTATACAGCGACGTGCATGTACGTGTGTGTGTTTTTAACGTCTTTTGGTATGACGCGGCCGGGGATCGAACCCCGGACCTTCCGCTCTCCGGGCGGACGCTCTACCACTAGACCACGGAGGCGGTCCCGCCTCTAACGAGCAGCAACGGGATGATGAATCAATTCTTACCCCGATCTTAACGGGATGCCCAATTCAGTCGCCTCTTAGGACCAACAGTGAGGTGCTTGGGATGCATTCTACCCCAGATCGTTGCTCATGCTGTCGATCACTGGTTTGTCTGGCTCGATCGTCTATAGGTTGGATTTATATTTTGAAGAATATTGCCGAGTGCGTCATAAAACAACATTCGCTTTCATTCTTTCAGCGACAACATATCAACGAAGAGTGTCCACCTAGGGCTATCTGCGGCGTCGCCTACGACTTCAACAGAACAGTCGGCGGTCGTCGGCTTCCAGAACGACGAATCATCCGGCACTGCACATGTCCTGAAAACATTGAGTGTCCAATCGATGCCGAACATAGAGTTTTCTCCAGTATAAAGAGGAGGTATTTACTCGTGTCATAACGGCCTACTGTTTCCTGATTGGCTGATAATAAAGCGGGTGGGGCATTTGTTGTATCATTGCTTTGATTGATGTAATGGATTTCGTACACACATTTAGCATTACGTCACAACCATTTTGATATCACGTGATCGGACTTTTCTCTTGTTGTAAACAAACCAAAGGTTTCAGTGCAGTCTCACAAAAATGAAATGACTGACAAGAAATCGACATTAGCCAATCAGAAGGCAGCTTTTTCGAACTTTACGACACTAGTTTCAAACTGGCGACTACGCTTCGGAACATATTTTGACGTATTCTCGATTAAAAAAATTAAAACTGATAAGAAGAACATTCTGGAATGGCTTACAGATGGCCTAGATTGTATGGATATAATTATAAAACCCGTAACTGTCGTTCGGAATACCCCGTGTTAAATATTTCGTGGTTGCATGATTAGAAAACACATTCCGACTGTCACTTTCATGATCTGGTAAGCGACGCTCTGATTGGTTGGATGAAAGGTCGTTCTGACGTGACCCTTAATGGGATGTCCTCAGATCTTTGTTCAGCGATAGCGAGAACTAGGATCAGATTTTAATTAGATTGATTTTAGTGCGTTTTGCATGTTGTTTTGCATATGTATGTTAAGCTACCACAACGGCGACAGTGAGACTGTGGCAATATATCTTTATATATTTGACCTTCGACGTATTCAGGTGGAGCCGTACAACATTGAAAAAGATAAATACGCAAACGGAAATAGATTTTCACGTCTTAGGATAGTTTATCAATTTAAGTTAACAATTTCATGACATATGCTTAATTAATGTAGAGATTGTTCAAAATGAAAAAAGATGATAGACAAATGTAATTTGTTGATTTGGCTGCGTAAGATGAGACGAATCTTGACATTTCGATGGCCTGTGAGGTAAAGTTATATGTTGAGCACAGGGAACTGGGTAAACTGAATTTGTTAATATCCTACCCAATCGTGTCATTCCGTGACAAGCCGAATACCCAATCGGGACATTTCGCAAAAAAACAAACTGTTTTTGGTGTCATATTCCGGAAAAAGCTGAATAGCGTATGTTCCCCAATTCGTCACCACTCGCCTCTTTCCGTAACCTGCGAGAAGACTCGTCCCATTATCGATGAATGTTATGTGCGAAATAAGACAAACCAATCAGAATGCGCGTATGACTTCAAGCTCTTCGGTCAAAGAATCCCTCAGGAATATTTTTTGATTTTACACATGTCTTGCATCTAACAGAAAACCCTATAAACAGTTAAATGTGTTCAGTCATAGTGTATACATACTATAGGTCCCGGTGTGTTTTAAACAGCATCTGGAATATAGATGAAATGAGGGAAATATACGTGAATCATTACGCAAGAGCTGACAATTCTTTTAACTATGCCCGTTTGCGCTTAGACGGAACCCAGTCGCAAAAAATGGCCACGAGAGGGGCACGAGTCGCTGATCGGTTTGTCCCTGAATAACACGAGTTAGCCACGAATGATCTTCCCCATAGGGACCCGGTGAGGTCTCTGGTAAACCAAGCTTATCGTCACCATACAAAGTTGCGCCACAAATGAAAAATCAACTTTGCAGGTCACTGGATGAGATAAACATATGTATTACTTGCCCGTGAAGAGATCACCTGTTTAATAAACATACAGATGTATTACACATTGTGTAATACCAAAACGCGTGCTTATGTACTCTCGGAACACGTTTCGGGAACAAATATTGAAAGCTCTCAACATCCCTTGGTTTATTCAACGACACTGCGTGTGGAGTTGATAGATCGTTCAAAGGAGCTTATGCACACCCGATGACCCCAGCAACCTTGTTGCTAGGCTGACGTCACATGGCATTGTTTCGGCGATGGATCTTGCAACAAAATTCCACACATTATGACATCGGGTATTGTGACGTTATGGTAAACTTAGAGATGCAAGGCCCGTTCCACAAGGCGATCGTATTGTAGCGCAACGACAGTCGTTAGTCTAAGTTAAAGTATGTGAGTTGCGATAGTCTTAGCCCTACGATAATTTTGTGAATTCTAAAAGTGGACCGTTGTATGGTATTAAATTCATACGTTTCAACTTTTGACGTGTTTGAAGTATTATTCTGGTAAACTCAATTGGACTATGCCGTAGATCGTGTAGGTGTCAGCCTATTCATACTCAACAGTATAATTAAAAAAACATTATAAATGGCAAGTAATAAATAAAATTCTAAACTCGCTCCCGTGTAAAACCAATTTTATGAAACTCGTGAATAGTTGTGGTATCTGACTCGCTTTCGCTCGTCAGATACCACAACTATTCACGAGTTTCATAAAATTGGTATTACACGGGAGCTCGTTTAGTATTCTATATTACTTGACAAGATCGAGAGATGTTTATTTTTGTGTCACATGCACAAACGGTCATGGTAAAAACATTTGACGTACAAAGTGTTTAAAATAAATGCTTGTACATCCAGCCTCATTAGGCTTATGGGACATATTAAAATACATGTGTATTCATAGTGAAATAATAATAATAAAAAAAAATAATATAAAATAAATATAAAAAAATTAAAATAATATAAAATAAATAAATTGAAAAAATATATATTCAATACTAATAAAAATAAAAATTATGTTTTACTTCTTTAAAAATAACAATATTAGTAAATAACTTTTATAGTTTTGTCTTCTTTTAAACATATAATATAGACATTAAGCTAAATTATGTTGCAGTGATTCCTCTTGCATAATAAAAATCAATGTATCTAAGACCAACTCTCATTGTATTGTTCAGGGAGTACTTGTGTCAACCGATATCAGACCTCGCAGCCTGTGACCTGGAGGACCCCTCTAGCCTGGCCGCCAAGCAGCTTGTGGAGCGACACCTCGTAGACATCCTCGCCAGGTATTTTAGGGTAAGTTGTGAGTGTGAGACTAACAATATTACTCTCACCATGATGCATGTTTTGTTTTTTTGTTTTTTTATTAACGCCGCACTCAGCGTCAAGCTATATGAAGGCGGTCTGTAAACAATCGAGTCTGAACCAGACAATCCGGTAATTGACATCATGAGCATCGATCCACGCAATTGGGATACGATGACATGCATCAACCGAGTCAGCGAGTCTGACCACCCGATCCTACGATCAAGCATAGTCGCCTTTTACGGCAAGCATGGGTTGCTGAAGACCTATTCTACCCCGGACCTTACCGTTACAGACTGCCGTCATATAGCTGGAATATTGCTGGGTGTGGCTTGAACAACAAACAAACAAACTATTTTGTTGAAATATACCCGTAATATATTATTAGAATCAGTATCATGATCATGTACACAAAACTGACAATCCAGTGATTGACATCATGAGCATCGATCAACGCAATTGAGATACGATGACATGCATCAACCAAGTCAGCGAGCCTGACCACCCAATCCCTTGTGGTTGTATTATTCTAACAATGGCCATCTGTGTCTCCAGATCAACTGTGTGTGTCCCCGCCACATCAACCCCGTTATCCCTAAGACTCCAGGGCGTCTAGAGCTGGCCACAACTATAACACGGGTCCGGCTTGTTGTCGGCCTGCATACTACTTTCCAGGACCGCAGATGCGTTGAGGTCAGTATGATGGGAACCTCGCATGGTTATCAACTATAAATAGATTCACCGAAATATATTAGGAACTTAATCTCGACACATCGTGTAACTTTCTTTACACATTTTGGGGATTCACAGCAGTATAGACACATTTGTAGGTCAGTTTGAATCGAAAACTGGTGATTTCCCCTAAGGTTATCATATTAAATTAGATTCTCCGAAACTGATCATGAAAGGAATCTCAGCATATCGTGAAGCTTTCTTTGCACTCCATCATGTGAGGGCATTACAGCAGTGACGCAATCGTAGCAATCGGCCAACCTCGTCCCTTTCCGTAACCCCAAAGCAGAAATTGGGGCAAATGGTCCCTATACAGTAAACATTCTTCCGCCTTAACACGCTCGCGGATGCACTTCTTTTGTGCGTTAACTGTTCATCTGTGTTTAAGTTCCGTTAGTTTTATATATACTTAGGTACTTAATTAGAAGTTATTGTCCTCGATATATTCAAACATACAACCTTTTAAAAATACACTTCCAACATGATGACTGGAAACACGAGCTAGAAGGTCCGTCCCTATGATAAATATCAGTGCCACCATTGAACTAATCTAACTTGTCTGCAGACCCTAGAGAATTAACTTAAAGAGGAGACCAATTCAAGTCTAGAATTGTCAAGTCTAGATTGTCTCAGCACTAGAATTAAGGATTGTTCTGGGTTCCATTTGGATTTTATTTTGTAGATATAAATTTTTAAATAAAATAACTTTATTTTGGGACTAGATGTCAGTCTACATTTTATGCGAACGTCCGTGTTTGTCACATAAGATGTAATGTGGTGATCTGTCGCCGTCCATAATCACATACCACGATCAGATGACCGGTGTCCTTTGGCTTGTCCGTCTGATGGATGTACCCAATGAAAATATATTTAATGTCTCCATGCGTTGTGTTTCAGTAACGGATATGGCCATGGTAACCAGTTCCTGGAGATTACAAGAAGGTTAAACAGCATTTCAGTATATCTCTGATATATTTTACAACCAACCGTTACTGCCATCAACTGAATGATGTACAATGCCAAAAAAATTACTTTCATTTTTTTTTTACGTGTTGGCCTTCAAAGATATGTTATGTTAAATATAAAATATCCTGTTTCTCGTCACGTTTCTGATTGAATATTTTGTGTGTGTTTTTTTTTTTTTTTATGTGTATCATTTTGAATTTATTGGGACACACAATAAAGTGCCGGTTCAAAGAAAGTATACATCATCGTTTGTGGTGGATAAAAAAGTGAAACAAACAAGAAATGGTAATTGGATGGTGATGTGTTTGATACAGGTATGCATCACAGTTGTGTTTGCAGTGTTTCGGCGTCTGTTTTCAGCCGAGTAACGTTTTGATAACGTTTGTAAATTCTTTTTGTCAGATCCAATTTTAAGTGTATACGTTCTTTTTTGCCCGGCATTATATCCTGGGATTGTTGTTTGTTTGTTTGTTTTTGCGTGGTAGGGGCAGTCATTCGACATTGGATTGAAATTTGAATAAATACAATTTAGACATCATAACAAGCGGTCAGGTAGAATTTAGACATCATAACAAACGGTCAGGTAGAATTTGGACATCATAACAAGCGGTCAGGTAGAATTAAGACATCATAACAAGCGGTCAGTTAGAATTTAGACATCATAACAAGCGGTCAGGTAGATTTTAGACATCATAACAAGCGGTCAGGTACAATTAAGACATCATAACAAGCGGTCAGGTAGAATTTAGACATCATAACAAGCGGTCAGGTAGAATTTAGACATCATAACAAGCGGTCAGGTAGAATTTAGACATCATAACAAGCGGTCAGGTAGAATTTAGACATCATAACAAGCGGTCAGGTAGAATTTAGACATCATAACAAGCGGTCAGGTAGAATTTAGACATCATAACAAGCGGTCAGGTAGAATTTAGACATCATAACAAGCGGTCAGGTAGAATTTAGACATCATAACAAGCGGTCAGGTAGAATTTAGACATCATAACAAACGGCCAGGCAGAATTTAGACATCATAACAAACGGTCAAGTAGAATTTAGACATCATAACAAACGGTCAGGTAGAATTTAGACATCATAACAAACGGTCAAGTAGAATTTAGACATCATAACAAGCGGTCAGGTAGAATTTAGACATAACAAGCGGTCAGGTAGAATTAAGACATCATAACAAACGGTCAGGTAGAATTTAGACATCATAACAAACGGTCTGGTAGAATTTAGACATCATAACAAACGGTCAAGTAGAATTTAGACATCATAACAAGCGGTCAGGTAGAATTTAGACATAACAAGCGGTAAGGTAGAATTAAGACATCATAACAAGCGGTCAGGTAGAATTTAGACATCATAACAAACGGTCAGGTAGAATTTAGACATCATAACAAGCGGTCAAGTAGAATTTAGACATCATAACAAACGGTCAGGTAGAATTTAGACATCATAACAAACGGTCAAGTAGAATTTAGACATCATAACAAGCGGTCAGGTAGAATTTAGACATAACAAGCGGTCAGGTAGAATTAAGACATCATAACAAACGGTCAGGTAGAATTTAGACATCATAACAAACGGTCAGGTAGAATTAAGACATCATAACAAACGGTCAAGTAGAATTTAGACATCATAACAAGCGGTCAGGTAGAATTTAGACATAACAAGCGGTCAGGTAGAATTAAGACATCATAACAAGCGGTCAGGTAGAATTTAGACATAATAACAAACGGTCAGGTAGAATTTAGACATCATAACAAACGGTCAGGTAGAATTTAGACATCATAACAAACGGTCAGGTAGAATTTAGACATCATAACAAGCGGTCAGGTAGAATTGAGGAGGGTTGTGATGATGACAGGATTGTTTTGGAGCACGACGATTCCCCAGTTACGATCTACACTACTATTCAAAAGTAACGTCCCCTCGACTGCGATTGGGACGCGACATTTCGAGGGAACGTTTATTTTGAGCAGTGGTGTTTGTGTGGGTGTTGCTGTTTCCAGAAAAGTGTAATTTGATTTGAACCGCACCCAAACCTATGCGAAACTACTGGGTCCAGGGCATTTAAATGAAACAAAATGGAAATATAATACCCTGCACAATCGAGGATGTCGTTGATATGTAGTTGAAAAGTATAATTAGAAGCTAAATACTACGTGTGTGTCTATTTCCGGGATTTTATCGAGTATTTGCATCTTGGAAATTCATCTCGAGGCCCGAAAGCGTTAGCTTGAGGGGCTCGAATGAAAATTTCCAAGATGCAAATACTTGATAAAATCCCGGAAATAGACACACACATAGTATTTATCGATATTGTAAACCTATTGTTTTATTTAGAAAAAAACATGTGCACTCTTTTACACCTTGTACTTACTCGGTTGTGAGGCGTCTACATCGGACGTTCTGTGATTTTGGTAATAATTTCATTATAATTGTTTTTAATTACAATTTTAAAATCCCATTAATTCCCAAGAATAGAGAAAATCGAATCAGAAATATTTCTGCAAATATTTCTTCTGCTGAAGGCAGCGAGAAATTAATTTCCTGAGTCAGCTGAGCCATGGCGTCCATGTTAATTAGTATGCAAAAAATGCTGAGTAATTATGTATTCCTACACAGTGATTCGGTCGCTTGCTTCAGGGAATGCAAGTCATATTTTCACCCTTTGACATTTGGTCATGTGACCCAAATTAGCCAATCACAACACAGAATACACTTTCTATAGGTTTACAATAAGTAATAAACATGGCAACCCCGAATAAAATGCGTCAAATTATAGACAAAGATAATTGTTTCTAAATGGCGGCTAAAACACGGTTAATGACAAATTATTTTCGAATTGCCCGATCGTATCCACAAATGTTCACACACTTATCCTATTTTAACGTCAGAAAGGATGGTTATGTCGTGTCAGTGTATGTGCATGTTATATATGACAGTGTATTCTCAATAAGCAGCAATAAACAAGAAAAGCAGTACGTATTGTGTTACAGGACATCAAAGAAAGGTATATTAAACGTTATTCTTGACCTTCTGTTTGCTATCTGGATATCTTAAGTTTGATAAAATATACGAGTGCGCGAGCCAGCAATATCCCAGCATTATCACGGCGGCTATGCATGATCGAGTCTTGACAGGCGCATGCGTTGATTCAAGCGAAGATCCGGGTTAGAACTACTCTTTAAGGCAACCCATGCTTGCTGTAAAAGGCGACTATGCTTGTCGTAAGAGGCGACTCACGGGATCGGGTGGTCAGGCTCGCTGACTTGGTTGATGGATGTCATCATATCCCAATTGCGTGGATCGATGCTCATGATGTAAATCACTGTATTGTCTGGTCCAGGCACAATTATTTACAGGTCGAAGTGATATAGCTGGAATAATGCTAAGTGCAAACAAACAAACAAACACAGCTGTGGATGGTAGCATTCACAACCACCCACGCCGTTGACACACAATCAGCTGCACAGACTGACAACCAGAGATCAATCATCGATGCGCTCGATCCCGTGTAAAGACAAGATGTCGACGTATTTCCGAAATCCTTATTCGCGATGTGGGACACGTAAGTTATTCCATTTTTTCTTAAGTTGGGTACAAGGATGTTTCCTTCTGAAAGTCGCTAGGTGCTTGTTGATGAACTCCGAAATTGATCTTTCTACTGATATGATTAAAAATACAGCAACACGGCAAGAGTAAAACGCGCAACACAAATGAACGAACAAGTGCAATTCATACAACGGACCCTTTTCAACCATCATCGCGAATCTCACAGTACGTTATCCATGCACTGTTGTTCTAAGTCGCGATTTGAGTGAGTGAGTGAGTGAGTTCGGTTTAACGCCGCTTTTAACAGTATTCCAGTTATATCGCGGCGTGTCAGCTTAATGTGGGAGGAAAGCCCGAAGTGACGCAGGTTTCAGACGTTTACCACTTCGGTGAAATCCACGAGAACGGGTATGGTGCTGACAAACCTAGAAACATAATCTGGGCGAACCGGGATTTAAACCCACAATCATAGGTTTCTGGCGTGCCCAAGGGACGCAACTCTGCACAGCGAATCGCGGCGCCTCAGACGACTGGGCCACCCGTGCCCCCAGTCGCGATTTTGGAAAACGAAATAATTTTAGGGTAATTGTGCTCAGCGTTGTATTTATCAGTTGACACCAGTGACGTCATATTGCAAGGGACATAAGCTATGGTGTGTTTATTATGGAAATAGAGCTCTCGGTAAATGTAAAATATATGAACCGATTTAATGAATAAAATAAATTAGTTACTTGTGATATTTGTATTGTTTTGGCTATGAAACTACCAGGCAAATACTTTTCATGTTGAAAAAGTACAAGAAAAATAGGTTCATTTTCGTGTGAACTTGCCTTTTAACACTTTTATATGTCCAGCTACATACAGACGGTCTGTTAATAATCAAGTATGGAACGGACAAACCAGTGATTGATATTGTGAGCAACGTCCCAAGCTAGGGTACGATGACGCGCGGTGAGCCAAGTAAAAGGACCTAACTCCTGATTTATATGGAATATTGACTTGAACATCATTGAATTCACTCACTTGCAGAGAAACGCTATATGTGAAATGTGTATTGGATGGGCACAATGTCGGTCGAGCACCAGCAGACCTTCAGTGTATGACGCCCGAGCGCTTCAGGTTCCCTAAGATGGTGGGTATGGTGCCGACATTCCGACAATCATAGTTCGAGTGAATCTGAGATGCCAACTCACATCATCGAATTTGGACGCCAAGAGTGCGTGCGTGTGTGTGTGCGCGTCTGTGTGTGCGCGTCTGCGTGTAGCTGTGTGTGTGTGTGTGTGTGTGCGTGTGTGCGCATCTGCGTGTGTGTGTAGCTGTGACTGTGTGTGTGTGCGTGTGCGCGTCTGCGTGTGTGGTGTACGTTTGTGTGTGTGCGTGCGTCTGTGTGTATGTGTGTGTGTGCGTGCGTCTGTGTGTGTGTATGTGTGTGCGCGTCTGCGTGTGTGTGGTGTACGTCTGCGTGTGTGTGTAGCTGTGACTGTGTGTGTGTGCGTGCGTGCGTCTGTGTGTGTGTGCGTGCGTCTGTGTGTGCGCGTCTGCTTGTGAGCGTGCGTCTGTGTGTGTGTGCGCGTGCGTCTGTATGTGTGTGTGTGCGCGTCTGCGTGTGTGTGGTGTACGTCTATGTGTGTGTGTGCGTCTGTGTGTGTGTATGTGTGTGTGTGTGTGTGTGTGTGTGTGTGTGTGTGGTGTACGTGTGTGTTTGTTGCTTTACGCTGCACTCAGAAATATTCCAGCTATATGACGGCGGCTTGTAGATAATCTTGTCTGGACCAGACAATCCAGTGATGTGAAGAGCCTAGATCAATGCCGTCGGGGCACCGTTGACGCGCCATCAACCATGTAACCGAACCTGACCACCCGAACCTTTTTTGACGCCTCTTACGA